AACACCATCTATTATTTGTAATTACATTAGCAAAGATAATTCGATATATTATGTATAACTAATCTAATTGTATTTGATAAGAATTAATACAATGTAAAACAAAGATAGATAGTGGCTAGCAGTGCAATCCAGTTTGATGCGAGTTATGTTCTATTTGGGACTCGTCAGCCGGATGTACCTGCATCTCAGAGTTGATGTTCACTGTGGGACTCGAACCCAGTACCGTTCACTTCAAACTCCATCGCCTGAGTGCATAATGTGATGGCGTTTAAAGCGGAAGCTCCCAGGTTTTCTGTGGTGGTCCAACATTGATCCATTTATGATCTGCGTCAAGACCTAATAATCTCCAGGACCCTATGCTGATAAATTCCTAAAAGACAATTGAGATCATCTTGCCATTTTCTTTTGTGATCTAATTAATCATACACCAAGCCCCATACCAACATTATTATCCTTTCTAGAAGATTCTAGAATCCCATGATACATTAGAAGCTTGTGAACGCCTTTGTTTTTCTTCGTTCTTGACCATCCTGGTTGTTCTTTTGTTTTTGAATTGTCAATAATTTCTATGGTTCGGTAAATCGAACTACACAGCAATCTCATGTATTCATTTTACAATGGTTATCAACTTTCAACTTGTAAAAATGCATGGATGTATTGTTTGTCTAGTTGATAAATAATCAGCTACATTAATTTTAATTCCAATTAGTTGTTTATGGTCTTGCATATCAAAATCCAATTGCATCGTTTACTGATTGTTATCGAAATATACATGTCGCCAATCCTTGTATATAATCATCGACTTAAATTGCATTAGTGAATAGCAGAATTAAATAAGTCGAATATAAGAATGCATTTTTGAATACGTATATTTCGTACAATTGTTGATCAGCACAGACAATCAGACATACGAAGCGAAGGAAGCGAAATGAATCGAAAAAAGCATGTGAGCCAACTCCATTTAATCAAGTGTTAATCAATATTTATAGGCAGATAAAAATAGGTTTCAGACATGTGATGAATAGGATATGAAGTGTATTAGCACATACGCTCATATAAAAGAAGTCAAGGTTGATAAGCGAATAATTAACATGGTCAAAGTGTAACTCAAGTAGAATGAATAGGTTATATGGTTTTAACATAGCAACCGACACTACAAGTTTTAGCCGAAAAATAAGATTTTCTAATCGTGTCGTTTACTTTTTTTTAATTAAACTATCTGATAAAAGCTACAACACTTGTGTTAGAGCTCAAATCAGTGTATGTTCGAACTCATGAATATCTGTTTGATTCGTGATTAACTTGAACATAGTATAACACATTTATTCCTGAATACCATTGTGATTGACAATTCCTATAGTGTCAAAATCATGTTTATAGTTTTTGGTTTCATTTTCAGAATAGCAACAAAAGTATTTATTATTATTATTTATTTAAACACATAAATATTGGTACAAGGAAGCACCAGATACACATGCGCTACACAAATCTCATTCGATTTGTGTTAGGGCTGTGATACTGCCCAGGTGCCCAAACTGAAACAGGTGGTTTTCTCAGGGGGCTACATCCCGAGCTTTTGACCTAAAGATCTGATCCACAAGGCAGTGAAGCATGGTGAGGAGATTCAGTCCCATGGTAGCCGGTGACCAACGATTGATTCGTACGCCATTTGATCCCTCTGGATACTGGAACCCAAGTGCATCATTGGTTTGGAATTAGGGTTTTTCAACTCCCCTAGGTGGATCCTCAATATCCACCAACCCGGTTAAAGCACCGGGCATTTGCTTTTGGTCCTCTCAATTTCGTAAACAACACCCGTGGTGCGAGAAAGCAGTGAGTAGGACTTCCCTGACAGAGGCTATATACTTGTGGCCATATGAGAGCATTTCGAGAGGAAGAGCTGACTTTCCCTACTCTCGACCGTACCAGGGCATTTGGGGGCCGACAAAAGTATTCCATTTTGTAATAACCACTGTACTTTTTTTGAATGTTTCAAGCAAATTCATATAAACAACATTACTGACAAGTCTTTTACATTTAGAGAAAATATTCCATACAAAAATTATGATTTTTATCTGTTTTTTTATTGATTTCTAATAAACCAGATAGAAAATATAAGTTTGGAAAAATCTTGACGTCTCTCTAGAGTTCGACCAAATGGAAGGAGTCTCAAATGCTATGCGCTTAATTAAATCGATTCTCTCAATATAATTCGCCACATCTATGTGTATTTACCAATTCAACTGCTCCTGTAGAGCCAGTTATATAGGGCGTACAATTCGGCAAGTTCGTCAACGAATAACAGAACACCTTCCATCGTGGTTGATCAAAGGACAGGTAAAGGTGATTAAGAGTTCTATTCTCGCTCATTTGGTAGACACAGGTCATCAAGTTGAACTGAATAAAGCTTTTAAGTTTATCTACCATATTCCATCAAATTTGCCACATGGTTTATGAACTCATCTATTGCACATAGCTGAAGCCATCACAATTCATATTCGCAAACGGAACTTTTGTATCCAAAAGAAGTTTTATACAACCACTCTCGTTACCTTGGCCATGGGTATAGCGGAGTTTGTAACAGAACTTTGGCAAACAATTATCTTATTAATTATCAGAAGGGGTTTTGTGGAGATTTAGTATTTTTCATAGTAGAAAGCATGAGTCAATTGAAGCTAGACCAACATGGAAAACCAGGAAACACTGGACGGCCGTTTCGTCCTATTATGTGATTCCTCAGCAGTGCGCATCCTTGAACCCGCTCTCGCGAGATTCGAACCCAGGACCTACCAGTCTCGAGCCGAAGCCCTTAACCGGTAGACCACTGAGCCGGCTACCAACGGTGTTAATGTCTAACTTCAACTGATCCACGAAGTTGAGCAACCATTCACCAATTGTCTTCAGTGAGTTCCTATCTCGCAACAGACGTGGTTTGAACTCCACTGGTCACTGCTTCCCACTAGAGCTCCTAGTTATACTTCTCGAAGTCACTAGTGAGCATATGATTATATTAATTATCAGAAGGAGTTTTGTGGAGATTTAGTGGTCTAGATTCAATGGACTGATGCTTTCTACTATGAAAAATTATTTTATTCCTTCCATTTTTGTATTTTACTTATTCTCTACATTCGTCTCTTGATTCTTACATAACTATAATATTACTGACCCTTCATCAAAAAAATATTTTGTTAGTTTTTTCTTCTCTTTTTTTATATATTATGCAACGTAGCAACAGTTTGATTTTCGAATAATAACTTTGATTAGTATTAATCCTTCTCCTCTAATTAATTAATGTTAGTTTATAATCAATGTCATCATATAATGATTACGTAACATATCTACTCCATGAGTGTTATTTAATTATTGTAAATCATATACAGATATAGATCAGAGGGGGTTTTATGGAAAATTTAGTATTTTCACAGTTGAAATCATAAGTCAATTGAGTGAAGGATCGTGAATGCGCACTGCCATTGAGGAGTCCCAAAATAGGACGAAACAGCCTTCCACTGCTTCCAGGTTTTCCATGGTGGTCTAGCTTCAATTGACTTATGATTTCAACTGTTAATATACAGATATATTAGTGTAGAGCCATGATGAAAAACTAATTGAAAAGAAATTTCTTCACTCGATTCATTCCTTTTTATTTAGAAAATATAAGTTTGGAAATCTTTACGTCGTTCTAGAGTTTGACTAAATGGAATGACTTTCAAACGTTATATGCTTAATCAAAACGATTCTTTAAATATAAGTTTATTTATTGATTTTCTTAAATCATATCTACATAAGCTATGAAACAAATAAAAGACGAAGTCTTGATTTTATCGATTATCAATATAATCAATTAGGACATTATATATATCTCAATACATGTCTGTTTATGCCATACAATATGACATCACTCTTATTGTCTATTATATATAATGAGAATACAAACTCAAAAATGGTCAATCGATCGATGGATAGATAGACAAACAGACAAACAGACAGTCTATAATTTCTGAAGGTTGACAGATACACTTATGAATATATTTCCCTTTTATTGATTGATAAGCGGAATGGCTAGATCAATAATTTCAATTTATCGATTACTTTAAAATATTGTAGGTTACAATATCAAAATATATAGTCATGTACCGTATTCATTGCTTGAAAAAGAAAAGAAAAAAGACTATGGATATTTCTCTCTTCTTATTGATAATGTTTGCATCCTTTTTCCCAGTTTAAAGTTAACATGCAATTTAATGGATTACAAAATTAGTTTATACGTTATCTGCATAGTTGAAAGCATGAGTCACTTGAAGCTAGACCACCAAGGAAAACCTCGAAGCACTAGACGTCCGTTTTGTCCTATTGCGGGACTCCTGAGCAGTGCACATCCACGACCTCGCCTCGCGAGATTCGAACCCAGGACCTAGCAGTCTCACTCCAGAACACTTAACTGATAGACCACTAAGACGGCATCCGATGGTGGTAAGTCCTGGGTTCGAATCTCGCGAGGTGAGGGCGTGGATGCGCACTGCTGAGAAGTCACGCAATAGAACGAAACGGTCTTCCAGTGCTTTCAGGTTTTCCATGGTGTTTTACCTCGTCCGTAACACCTTCAACTGGATAACAAAAAGGTAAGTCTGTTTTCAGGGAGGAAAAATGATACTTTCGGGCAATTAGAAAAAGATTAGATAATAAGCGCAAATAAATGGGGAAGAAAAAGCTTTCATTTATAAAGAATGAGATATACTATCGATGGCCTTAATTTCAGTAAACTTCCTTCTCATTCTGTCTTTTCACTCTGATAGCCGGTGAAGTTCATGTGTTGAGAGACTGCATTTCAGAATCGAACCGGGACATCGAGCACCACAACAGTTATTATTATTATTATTATTATTAACTGATATCAACTACTATAAGGCAAACTCAGTCTGATCATAATAACAAATCAAAATACATCAGTAGTTATGATAAATATTACTAATGATATTACTGCTAATACTATCACTTACATGTGATATTTGTTCCAATTTCGATGTGGCAAACTCTAATTTCTTTCTGTCGACATGATCATATGGTGTATGAGCAAGTAATTCATGTAAAGTGATTATGTAACGTGGGATCTAAGAAATAATAAAAAAAATTACATTTTAGAAAATTTACTGTAACATGATATAGCAGTATATACAGTTAGTTGAATTAATCATTCAGTAGTAAGTTATAATGAAGGAAATGATAATGTCTTATCACAAGGGGGATTTTGTGGAGATTTTAGTGATTTTATATAGCTAAGACCATGAGTCAATTAAAGCTAGAACACCGCTGGATGTCGGCTCAGTGGTCTATTGGTTAAGTGATCTGGCGCGAGACTGCTAGGTCCTGGGTTCAATTCTAGCGAAGCGGGATCGTGGATGTGCACTGCCATTGAGGAGTCCCACAATAGGACGAAACGGCCGTCCAGTGCTTCCAGGTTTTCCATGGTGGTCTAGCTTCAACTGACTCATGATCTTAGCGATAATGTATTATCTAACTCAGGGTAATGCCTAAGTATTACCAAGCATATTTGATTTTGCGAACATCAAACTAAATTTATTTCAGATCACTCACTATGTATTGAATATCAAATGGCTTTTTGAATAATATACACAAATCCCGACAAGTTGATCTACGTTACAAGTAAAATATATGATAAGCGAATACGATGATGATAAGCTTGATTGACTCTGAAAATGATCACTTGATTTTGAAGTCACTATTCAGTTAATAAGTAGAAAGCTTTCGTAAGCCAAAAGTATCTAACAACAGAAGTAATGGAACTTGATAATAATAAACATATGCTTATTGGTGACTGGGTCCAAGAGGTATTTCCTGGAGTTCTAGTGAAAAGCAATGACCAGTGGAGTTCAACCAGGTTTGTTGTGAGATAGTAACTCACTGAAGACATTGGTGGACGTGTCGTTCAATTTTGTGGATTGGTTGAAGTTAGACATTAACACCATTGGATGACCGCTCAGTGGTTCTAGAGGTTAAGTGCTCTCAAGCGAGACTGGTAGGTCCTGAGTTCGAATCTTGAGAGGCGGGATCATGGATGAGCATTGCTGAGGAGTCCCACAATAGGACGATCCAGCTTCAAGTGATTCATGATCTCAACTATTAAAATAAAATTAATTGTAAGCAACGATGGATAGTAGCTAGCATCAATTTCCGTCTGTATTACTTGTGACTTGATGGAAATATTAAGGTAATCCACAAATGATGTACGTATTATCAAAATAGACTGATCAACTACAGTCGTAATCATCAATTATGAAATTTAAACAACCATTAGAAATGAATTAAAAATTGTTTGATTCGCATATTATGTAAAATCTATGTACAATGCCAATTTTTGCTCTATGATGGTGAGAAGGACTTTTCTTTACAGTTTTAAACGTTTTGGCACTATACATAGATAATATCTATGGCATATACCATATATATAAAACATGAAAATCATTCATTTTTTGAATTTCTTATCAAAGTTGGAAGTCATTTTGTCTATTCTAATTTATTCGTTCCTACAGTACACTCTAAAAGAAATGGATATTTATTTGTGAAAACTTTATCCAAATCAATTCATTAGGTATTATAAGCAAAGATGGGTAGTGGCTAGCAGTGGTACCCAGGAAGCGAGTTTCGTCCTATTTAGGACTCGTCAGCTGGATGTACCTGTATCTCAGATTTTATGTTCACTCTGGGACTATATCGAGACAATACGCACAGTATGCACATGTGCCAATTAGAAACTGACCAGTTGCAGTCTTAAACATCAATGGGAAGTTTCAAGCAAACAATACTAAGTGAATTTAAACGTGTTATTATGTTATAAGCATTAAATGACCTAATGGAGATGACTGAATGAACTAATAAAATAATGAAAATAAGTTTAAACGGATAATTAATGAATGAATAATCGAAACAACCATTTTGTCTTACTGAACTAGAAGAATGTTGGAAGGTATTCCCTAACATTATATGACAAAAGTACAACTGTTTACATACATTATTAACCGACCTAACATTATCATTTTTTTAAAAATTAATTGAATAATTTATTCTGATTGGTCCAAAAATTGTCCAATAAGATTTGTCAGATGACATAGTAACATGAAAATGAAAATTGGAAGTAGCGAATGTTCAACTTTATCACTCAATACTTTATGAAGTTGATTTTTTTAATTTATCTTTCAACTACTTCTTGTCAGCAAAGATGGATAGTGGCTAGCAGTGGAATGCAGTTTGATGCGCCACTTCGTCTTATTTAGGACTCATCAGCTGGATGTACATGCATCTCAGAGTTGATGTTCACTCTGGGACTCAAACCCAGTACTTCTTGTCAGTTTTATTTTAGATTACTAAAATATTTAAACAAAAGTTTAGTAAGGAGACGAGCTTACAACAATGGCGGATGAACTTTCAGCTTGTTTTCAATCAATCAATCAGAAAAACAGCCCTTATATTATAGATAGTTTATGAAAAAAGGAATAATAATATTGTAAAGTATAAACAGTTTATGAATTCCTTCTACAGTTAATTCTGATTATAAACCCAAGAAACAAGGAAAATAAACTCGTCTTGATGGAAATAGTTTGTTCATATTTTCTAACACTTAAAATGATCCACGTAGATTTTTAAGATTCCCCACACTGTTCCTCGTTAGGGTTAGATAATTAAGAATACGATTGGAATTTTACTATTGAAGTTTTCATCAAGAACTAACATCAGCTGTAATTTTAAACTGCTCTATTATCTATATGAACGAATGACTTTGATCTGAAACATCCAAGATGAACTATCTAATTAGTTCATTTATAAAATGTAATGACATCAGATTGAGGTTTGTTTCAGAACTAAGTGTTTTGAGTGTTTTGAGAAATGGAGACAGACATGAGAAGAATGAACAAAAATTGGATAGAACTAGAAAGGAAGACCCAGGACAGAGTGGTTTAGAAAATGTTGGTCGGCGGTCTGTGCTCCATTGGGAGTAACAGACGTAAGTAAGTTTTTAGTTAGGATTTAAGGATAATATCGATTTACTTAATACATGCAACTCACAACGATAAAACTGAACATTGAATACTTTTAGCATTATCAAATCTACTCTATTATTGTAAAAACTGATTTATTCATTATCATTTCAAACATATTGGGTAGTACAAAAATGTATTTCTAATGATCGCTATTTGAATTTCGTACAAAAGTTGTTATGCTTCGATAACAATAGTGAATGGCAACTTTGGGATCCATTTATGGACCTATATTATGCATATAATTTTTATCGTATATTTGCTAAATAATTAAACTACTCATATTCGTATTCCTCTTATTATAAGCTTTATTTTGACCCATGGACTATTATTATACGATTTGTCATTCTTGAATTATTCCCAGTCTATTGATTACTGTTCCCCCTATTCACAGCCATATTTGGCCAAATATTGCACAAATGTTATTTTCTATTTTATGGTACAATGTGGTCAGTTTGTTTGGTATAATAACCCAGTGTGTTTGAGAATAATGATTCATATTGCAGAAGCTGTTATGGTTTTCTGGACTTAACTGACTGGGCTAGGCAGATAGCAGGACTGAAAAGTACTCTAGACTGCTCGTACAGTTTTCGTGTGTCACTGTTGCAATCGATAATTCGTTGCTCTTTGATTGGTGGTCTTATCACGTCATACGTTTAACAAGGCATCCACTCGGTCACAAGATATAACAAAACCAAAGTGTCATGTTGTCAAATCTGTTTAGTGTATCCCCAAAGTATAATTTGAACCATTGTTACTATTTAGAAACCATCCAAAAATATATGATAATCATTTAACTTACTTGATGCATTGGATAAGTTAAAAATGATTCAATTGATCTACCTTCACATAATGGTTTCTCTTCTAAACGTTTAAGCATATGTGTAAATTCTGGACGTTGTTTATATTCTGCTAATACTTGTAATGAATAATGATGATTACGTACATATTCTTGATATATTCCCAACATTGGTAATAATAAATCAAATAGATCACCTTTATGTTGGAATGATAAAACAAAAATTGGAATTGAAAAATTAGGGAAAATATAAAAATGGACAAAATTTGGACTTTATTAATGTCCGACGCCAAGTATATATCACAAGTTAGTGAGTTTGAACTTTATCATTGAGGATCGCTTATCCCCTCCTGGAGGTATTAAATAAATAGCTGTCCACGTAAGATACGCCATAATCGTTGGCCGGACATCATCAGTAATAGCCTAATATGATAGAGAATAAAACAGCATTCAGCTAGAGAGGGGATTAGCATAAAACGCTGGAGGTGGATAGGACACATATTACAGAAATCATCAAGCTTCATCTCAAAGTAAGTCTCAATTTTGAATGTTTAAGGCGAAAGGAAAAGAGGCAGAACAAAGGACATATTATCCTGGGAATTAAAGATAGACATCAAAAGAAAGAATAGTACTTGAGAACAATTGGAAAGGAGAGTCACAAACAGAGTAGGCTGGAGAATCCTGGTCGGTGGTCTATGCTTCTCTACGAGGGATAACTTGAGTAAATCAAGTAAAGTGCTGCTTGTTCAGTTGAACAAGAAATACTGTTAGATGAAGAGATATTTATGGACCAGACACTGATTTACAAGTGATCAAAACGTATCAAGTTATATAACATTTCAAATTTCCAATCAATAAATAAATTTATAATCAGAAGGCGATTTGTGGAGATTTCAGTATTTTTCAAAGTTGAAATCATGAGTCAATTGAAGCTAGACCACCATGGAAAACCTGGAAGTTCTGGGCGGCCTTTTCGTTCTGCTATGGGACTCCTCAGCAATGCGCATCCCCTTCTGGTTATAATCATATGCTCACTAGTGACTGACTTCAAGATACATGTCCTGGAGTTCTAGTGGGAAGCAGTGACCAGTGGAGTTCAAACCACGTCTGTTGCGAGATAGGAACTCACTGAAGACAATTGGTGAATGGTTGCTCAACTTCGTGGATCAGTTGAAGTTAGACATTAACACCGTTGGTAGCCGGCTCAGTGGTCTATCAGTTAAGGGCTTCGGCCTGAAACTGGTAAGTCCCTGGTTCGATTCCCGTGAGATTGGGTTCGTGGGTGTGTGCTGCTGAGGAGTCCCATAATAGGACGAAACGGCCGTCCAGTGTTCCTAGGTTTTCGATAGTGGTCTAGGTTCAATTGACTCATGATTTCAACTTTGAAAAATAAATTTATATGTTTACACTGTCATTAATGAATATTATTTAATCAATAATTTAATGTGTGTATACACTTCCTAAATCAATAAAATCAAAATGTTTTGACCAACTATCCACCGGGATGGGGTTGTGGAGATTGTTAAGTTTTTGATTGAGATCATAACCTGTGTCAGGTAGAGACAGGTATCTATCTACCTCAGACGATGAGAGATGGTCGCGCAACTTCGTGGATTGAAGTTAGAAATCAACACTAATGGATGCCGACTCAGTGGTGTAGAGGTTAGGCAAGATCGAAGGTCGTTGATTCGAGTCACACGAACGGAGTCGTGGATGCACACTGACTGTCGAGGAGACCCGTACGGACGAAACGGCCGTCCAGTGTTTCCAGTCTTTCATTAGTGATATAATACCAATAGATTCATGATCTCAACCAAAATATATGACCAAATTTCTCCTTCTAGTAATTCCTTCTTTCGATTCTAAATTTCATGTCTAATTTCATATTGGGTTCTTTAGTATGCAGTAATCTCAATCAATTTCATCACTAAATGTTGTGAATTAATCGAATGTGCTGTCTTAATCATCAATTTGCGTTTTTTCTTATTTTTCTCTCTCCTGCATTCTTGCTTCTCCACACATTATACAACAATAGTAGTATTTGCTCTTTATTTTTGAGAAAAAAATCAATTTCTTAGACTTTGTTGTTACCTTCTGATAAATCTTGTCACTGATACCCTTAAACTGTCTTTCTAGTCTATCTCGACTATCCGAACTACTTTCACAAATCAACTGGGATACTAGAGAAAGGATGCAAAGTTTGAATAGAATGCGTTACTCCAACGTCAGTTTATATGCTTAAATAAAAAGGTGTTTAAAGATTTGCACACGATATTGGGCTTGTAAAGCAGTAGTATAGGTGAAAATCCAATCAAACTGTGTCATGTGACTTTGTATTTTCTAGATGCTACTGAGAAGATTCTGTATAAAGCTGATTGATTAGAACGTCTTCTGTCGTTTCCAAGCCTCTAGAGACTTTCGGGAGAAATATTTCAAGAACTTCTACAACACTTTTCTAATGAAAAATGAATTATCTTGACTAAAATGCTTCATTCATTTGGGATTATTTATAGTGAGTATTGTGAAATTTGTTAGTTGTCAAATAAGAGTCCAAGGAGAAAATTATGTATGCAAAGAATCTCAGAAAGGGAACTTTAATGAAGTCCAACACTTCTCTTGACAAGCTGGTTAAAAAATTTTTAAAGGAAGTATGACCAAACACCAAAATTATCGAGCATATGGTTCGCCCGTTAACTGTATACTAAACAGGTCATTCAGTTATATTAACAATGCTAAATGCAAGAATTTGCCGGAGTGAGTATGAAAACTGTGATGTGAAAAGAGTTAGGAAATTGTATATAGTTGAAATCATGAGTCAATTGAAGCTAGACCACTATGGAAAACCTGAAAGCACTGGATGGACGTTTCATCCTATTATGGGACTCCTCAGAAGTGTGCATCCACTATCCCGCCTTACGAGATTCGAACCCAGGATCTACCAGTCTCACGCGCGAGTGCTTAACCAGTATTATATTATTCATAATTTTAATAGTTGAGAACATGAATCAATTGAAGCTAGACTACTATGGAAAACCTGGAAGTTGAAGTTTACTATATTCGATCTCTCCTATTCAGATAGTTTATATTTGTCCTTATGTGTAGGGATTTAGTTGTTAATTTCTCTGTATAAAATAAAACTCTTTTGACAGTTCTTATGCCATCGAAATCAATTGCATTGCCATATTCTATTGAACGAAACCCTATCTCTGACTTATTTATATTTTTTTCGGGTCTCCTGAGGATTTTGGAATGTGCATCTACATATATATGATATTACAGTCACTACATCCATTCTCATATACACGATATTGTTTCTCCTCCTTTGGTATCTAGTTTTTGACTCTTACTAGTTTAGAGCTTAACATATTGTTTGTTCGAAAGAATACTCTTACAGTGTGATCATTTGGAAACCTTTGGGTCTAATGGTACTTTACTTTCATTGACGAATTTTTCCATGTATAAGTTTGACATAATCTAGACTAATTATTGAATATATCACTTCAAGATCTTACTGGTTTATGTGCTTAGCTAACAAGAGAATGAAAATCACAGTCGATGAATAAATGTAACTATCATCCCGCAGTCGCAACGACCGAGATACAAAAGGAATTTCGCTTAAACTGTATTACTACTCATAAGTAACCATTGTTGTAAGATGTAATTTTTAGCATGATGTGTTTGACCACGTCTTTTTAGTACTACTTAACAGTGATCAACAACATTCAATTCAACGTGAACTAACACTTTGCTGATCCATACAGCATGTAAACTTGTGTGCAAAAGCTAATCATATATATTGATATTTTTTAATAGTTGAATACATAAATCGATCTATGCTAGAACACTACTGAAAATCTGGAAGGTCTTGTGAATTCAACGGTTAAAGACAATACAATCTCCAAAAATCACCTTACATGGCAATATTTTGTTCGCCAATTTTTAGTGAATTCTCAAACGAGTCTATAGCATGTTTCTTAAACTGTATGATTGATTCCTCAGATAGAATGAATTCCAACCAATTATTCTTATTTTCATAGTTGAAATCATGGGTCAATTGAAGCCAGATCACCATGGAAAACCTGGAATCATTGGACGGCCGTTTCGTCCTATTATGGGACTCTTTATCAGTGAGCGACCACGACCCCGCACTCGCGAGATTCGAACCCAGGACCTACCAGTCTCGAGCCGGAGCCCTTAACCGATAAACCACTGAGCCGGCACCCAGTGCTTCCAGGTTTTCGATGATGGTCTAGCTTCAATTGACTAATGATTTCAACTATGAAAATACTAAATTCTCCCCTTCTGATCAACAATTATTCTTAGTTAGGAAGTTTTGAATCAATCTACTTTTTATTTGATATGTTTATAGATAATTTATACACTTTTTAGGTGTGAAAATTTGTCGTGTATCCATGATGATTATTGTTGTGATGGAACAAATGATGTCAATGTTGTATTTTTTAGACCTATTCTATAATTAATTAGTGTTTAATTACTGGATAACTAGATTATTATGCTCCTATATTCCCTGTGATGTGAGCTTCGTTGTATCTACTGTCTAGTTTTTAGTTAATTACTGACTTATTAATCAGTTCTCTACCATTTATGACATAATTATGTGTAGAGTATAATTTCTTATATGAAGAATATTTGAAAAAGATACTTTGGATGGTTGACAGATAACAATAGAGCTTGACTATGTTCCCTTGTCTGCACTCAAGTTTGGAGATAGAGAAAATAATAAATATTGATGAGCCAATACTGCTGAAGACTATCCAAACTTCATCTTAGATATATGCTATTGGTCGAAAATGTAGCCGGATTTCCTGAGGAACCCAAGTCTATATTTATGAAGTATGTTTATATTTTCAATTCAGTTAGCTAATAAAAGCTTCTTATTCACTCTTGATTTTGTCGTCCATTCAGTTAGTCAAGCTTCTACATAGAAAGCTTGTTTATAAGGAGCAGACCCGCATGTCTACAGAATTCAACATGATGCATGATCTATTTAACCTTAGTCAAGCGTGATAAAAAGTGTGAATACCGCAATCATTACATGTCAGTCTGTGGGATATTGATTATGAATACAGTGGTCTTAAGTGATGTCAGTGGTATGACGGCGGTTATCACTTCCCTGTCGCCCACACAATAGGACGGTTCTTCTAGAGGTACCTTGAAAAGAAATCTGGTTAGAGCTGGCCTTAGCAACCTGAGAGCGTGACCATTGTGCACAAGGAATAACTGCTTGAGATCGGTCACGCTCGGATAATGTTTGTTCTAGATCAGCACTCGTTGAAATCTTATCGCCGAAAACAGATATTCGTGAGATAAAGCGAGGTGTGCATATTTAGGCCCGACCTTTTGTAACCCCACCACTCCCTTATGAGAAGGCAGCATCATTGTTATGTTGGTTGATTGAAGGAAACACCTTACCGCCATCACACTTCTGTACAGTTAATAGTACGACTTCACCCTCGGACCTTGAGTTTGCTGATTTTAGTCTTACCGCTGATCAACCGATCTATCTTACATGGTAAGACCTTGAGGAACGATTGTTCCAGCCAGTATGGTCTGACAAGTTCATCACCATAAGCAAGCCCAACCACTACGTGTAAATAGCAACAATGGTCTGTCATGTATGTAAAAACGAATAGCTAAAAGAGTCTTTTACATCGGCCAACATTGCTTTACTAGTTAGATTGTATCTATCTAGACATGATGAACAAATATAATGACTGGCCTGTAAATGAAACACCATTGAACTGAACAACATGCTTTTATCGTTCGATCTTAGTACGTTTCAATAACTCCTAACATCTTATACATGTTATGCCTTTCAAGTCAATAGTGGTTACTTAGTTGGAGAAAAAACCAACAGTGTATGAACTGCATTTCATATGATACAATTATTCGAAGTCATTAAAGCTGTAAGAAAAACTCTCAAGTGATCAAGACAATGTCGTATTGTTTAAAAAATTTCTCCACCGGTATGTGTTTCTGAAGATCATATTAATAACTTGAAATCAGTAATTAAAACTCAACTAAGCATCGACAACGTCAATAAGAAGACAGTATGTCTTCTTTTAAACTATTCAATATCCAAATTCATTTAGTATTGTTTGTTTGAATCTTCCCATTAATGTGTCAGAACTGCAACTGGTCAGTCTCTAATTGGCATATGTGCATTCTGTGTGTATTGCTTCGATATAGCCTTAATTCACAAGCATGGTAAGCAAAGACGGATAGTGGGTAGCAATAGAATCCAGGACACGCGTTTCGTCCTATTTGGGACACTTCAGCTGAATGTACCTATATCTCAGAGTTGATGTTCACTGTGGGACTCGAACCCAGTACCTTTAGCCTCAAACGCCATCGCGTTATCCACTCGGCCAATTAGTCCTGATAGCCACTTGCTTGTGCGATTGGGTGAAGTTTAAATTCATTTAGTATTGATTGTTTGAACATCAACTCTGAGATGCAGGTACATTCAGCTGACGAGTCCCAAATAGGACGAAACGCATGTCCTGGATTCCACTGCTAGCTACTATTCATTTTTGCTTACTATTCAATATCCAATTATTTGTCACTTCCAACAGCTTTCTCCCTCTTTTCCTAGAAATCAATCGTTTCGGTTTTATAAGTCAAGAATAATCCAAGAAAATAATCATGACGAAATTTTCATGCAAATGTTATTTCTAATTTTTTACAATAGTAACAAATATACTACTGACAAATAATAATGAAATTACTCATATACTACCAGAATAATACACGTATACTTACCTAATTGTAAAGTAGGCCAATTCTCCATTTTATTCCGTAAACCTTGAACAAATACTTGATGTAGAAATAGAACTGCTTCACTGTATATCAAATAGAAATAATAGGACAATTCAAATTAAAGGGATAATAGAAAGTATAAAAACAAATCATGTTTTATGGAATGCAAAGCAGAGAGATCACTAATAACACAAAATTATAATTAAATGATAGATAGAGTGTTATATCCGTCCCCAGTTTATATATTTTGGTGTGGTCTACTTATATCTATATAAGTAGTATATGGTGTGGGTCAGACATAGAATGTATTTTCGCAGAAGACCGATGAAGAAAGAACTAAAATGAAGAGCAATCGGAAGGAAAATGCATGAGCAATGGAATAAGGGAAGAAACAGTGAAGATTGAATTAATTGGTTGTTAATTTGCAAATTGACTATTCATTGTTTGGTTATCAGAATTTACTGAGATAGTCTGTAATGTTTGCTTAAATACATTCGATTGTCCCCAACCAGTGTTCTATTCACTACAATATGACGTGACGATGCCACCAATTAGAGATCAGCGATTTTATTGATCAGACCATTGACATACAAAACCGTTGCGAGCAGTCTAGAGTACTTGTCGGTCCTACTTTCTGCCTAACCCAGCCACTTAAGTCTAGAACACCAATAGCAGCCTCAGCGGTATGAATCTTTTATTTCAAACATACTAGGTTTATATACCAAACAGACAGACCACATCGTACCATAAAATAGAAAATAACATTTGTATAAGACCTAGCCAAATGTGACTGTGAATGTGGGAGGTAGTAAGTGATAGACAGGGAATAATTCAAGAACGGTAAGTAGTATGACAATAGTTCCTAAGTCAAAATAAAGCTTATAATAAGGGGGACATGGATATGAATAGTTTAGTTATTTAGCAGTTATACGATAAAAAACATATGCATAGTATTGGTTCATAAATAGGTACCAAAGTTACTATTCATTTTTCTTATCGGGACATTCTACCCTCGTTGCCACTGATAAGTCTTGCTAATTGAACGCTATACTCGACTACTAAGCTATTCTTGTAACCCCCAAGCTAAATCTACACAGCGACATGAACATGAGAGAAAAGGCGCAAAATATGCGAGAAGCACTTTACTCCAAAGGTTCATTCATGTTCACAAAATCTAGGGTTTTATAGTATTTTATAAGTCCTCAGGTTTTCTTGAAAATTCTGGAATGCTACTAAACATAGTAGCAGTATAGTAATCAGCATATCAGAAACCCTACACGTGACCTTTCACTTCCGTGATGTTTCTGGCAAAACTTTCAGTCAACGCTGACTGGATCAAATGTTTCTTAATGTTTCCTGAGCCTTCTTTGTTTTTTACGAGAAATTTTCTGGATCACCCCAACAATAGATAGATAGATTTACAGAGAACAGTCGGAGTATTAATTATCAGAAATAGTAAAATGCTCACCTTAGGTAATACACTGGTAACTTATCAGTATAGTCTACTATTTATTTTTACAGTTAAACCTAATAAAGTACATTACAGTTGAGGATTATATTTAAACCATATATAGATACTTTATCCATCTAGACTATTTATAATTATGACTATACATATTATATATAGTATAGTATATATCACTGTTTCGATTAATTCTGATTTATATGTAGGATTCCTTAGACAGTGATCTCAATTGAAGTACTGTTGAAAATCAGGGTATAATGGACAGTTGTTTCATGTTGGAATGACATTTTTTCAATACTTTGTACATGTATGTCAGTCAGTCAGTCAGCTACAACGTAGGATCAGACACATTTATGCATCGGTCCAAGTTGCCATACCTCATTAGCACAACAAGATGAACACCGAATTTGTAGAAGTAGTTGATTTAGTGGTGGTAATATATAAAAGATAGGTTGTGCATAAGGATAAAGTATAGGAATGAAGAACGTTATGAAGCAATTTTAATCTTAAGGTTTAAGGGAAGACAAAGAGTGTATACACCTACACCATTGTGATCGATTCTGAGCCATTTCACCTAGAGTCTCCAACCATTGGTTACGATGGTCACGCAGACCACAACCAAGTAGTCTGCATGTCCCAGCATTACTCAGACTAGAAGTTAGTGACTTCAAGCACTGATGCCATTTTTTGGTTTGGCCGCCCCTCATGTATGTACGTCAAAGAGAATATTCAGGACCTACATGTTCAACAGAGAACGTGTAACATTTAGAAACACTGTGTCAATGTCCAGTAGTAAGATTGTAACTGCAATCAATTTTCAATATAGCACGCATGCCATCCATAGTTATTACTGCAATAGTTTCATTTTGAACATACCAAAACTCTATCTATCACAACTTCGTTTTAGAACTCAAAAGATATCTTGATATGGATCGCTGGTTAGCTGACTACTATAGTTTAATTGAGAGAGTTTCGTAGACATTCTTTTATTGCGTAGATTTTATCCATCACATACATATCAGAAGTGAAATAGCTGTTGTAAGTGGTGTTAGAAGATTGTCGCACTACATAGCAAACCAAATGAATTTAGAACTACAAACCGCTGGATGCCAAGTCAGTGGTTTACACGTTAAGGGCTCACATAGAGACTTAAAGACACTGCATTTGATCCCTGTTGAGGCTGTGAGAGAACATTGCTGAGGAGTCTCGCATTTAGATGAAACAGGCGGCCACATCCTCCTGGTTTTAATGGAACCTCACCTGAGGATAGTCTGTGACAAATAGAGCCTACAAACAACTTTATTTTTGCGTTAAACGTGAAAGCAACTTGTATTTGGGTTACGTAAACTAACCTGCGTAGAGTAAATAACTAATAACCCTTCTAATAGTAGTCTTAAACTTGACAGACGAATAGGTATTTCCATTATCACGAACATTATTGTCAATTAATGTTAAAATAAAGATAACTTACGCGTTTAAAAATATTGAATTCACATCTTCATGACTAACAATTGGCTTTTTCGAACTCGCAGCCATACGAAATGGTCTCAAGTAACAAGTGACTAATATAGATAACTGTTGGACATATTCATCTTCACATTCAACCAAGCCAAATACAATACTATTACGTCGACGCATTGATTCAGCATGATCCGATCGAATATATTCCTCAACAATTTGTTTCCACCGGCGACGACATAACCAACCACGAAAAAATGACTGCACCTTAATCGCATAATTAAGTAACATACATGATCGAGGTAAGAGAAAAAAAAGAATGAATTAGCACAATATATATGAAAAGTTAAATAATCGTTTTCGATTGTGAAGGGGATATGTTTCTTTATCCATGATTTTTCCTGATATGAATGATCATGCAATCATAATTTCCAAAATATGAACACTTATGGTTAGATAATGTCTAGAATTGGAATCTGGGATGTATGTTTTGCGTTATTTGAGATCGATCAGCCGGTTAATTATTCATTTCACTTTCAATCTTCATAAATAAGCTCCAGCTCAGTACCCCTGCCTTCAAATGTCAACTCTTTATCCATCAAGCTACTGAATTCAGATAGCTACGAATGTGTCCAATTAGTATAATGTTCATAGTCGTAAGCTTTTGAATTACCCTGTTGTCGATATTAGGGACTAGATTTCGACCTCATAAAGTATCTCAGTAGACATTGTGTCGAAATTTTATGAGAAAGACGGTATGTTTAAGCCATAATATGAACACCAATACTGGGGTTCACGTAGATCCATTTGACTAATTCCAATTAAGACGAAAGTTGAGTATTTGATTCCACTGTTAGCCAGAATCCATCTATTTTATAAATATTTCTCATGTAGTTCCATTTATTCTCAGCAATATTATTCCTTAACTTGAACTAGTCAAGGTCATAAAGGCAAAACGAAATACATCAGTCTAAAATAAGTGATCTGAATGCACGAATGTAGTAATTACACCTGAAGTGAATAAAGTAAGTGTCTGGAATAAAATCGGGCTATTTTGCTTCACAATACATGTCAGTAAATGATCTTCATGCCATACTTAACCTTATAAGAACTTAAGATTCCTAGAAATAAAGTTTCTATTAATTTTCAGTGATTATTTCCATTGGGACGGCTCCCAGAAGGTGCAACGAAGCCTACAAAACCTCTAAAGGAGCCACTGAGATTCTATCTAATTATAATCTGACGGAACTATCTAGAATATCAGAGTTGGATGGTATGATTGAAAGACTGTATGAACTTTCTACTTTAGGATTAACTACATTATATTGATGTTATAGCGTATAACCAGAATTGGTAAATACACCTGCTTTTTGTGTACACTTTTGACACTTACTCAATAAACGTTTCTTCTGCTTTCTGACTTTTCGATTTGAGACTGTGGATCCTACGTGTATTTAGTGACAAAGTCGTATACCGTATTAGCCGTAATCAAGTAGCGGACTTAATTATTTCATGTTACATTTTTAAAAAATGCAAATAGAAGGATAACAGAGCGAATAACAACGAAATGTAGTTTACCATCTTCATAAATTTATTAAAAAAACAACTGCCTACTTAATTCGGGTAACAAGTAGTAATCTTGTCGTTCTATCTTTTTTTAGGTATTCGTAATAGATCAACATTTCGAGTACTAGTGAGACATTTTTTTCCTGAGATAACCCTCTTTTTCTCACAGCTGTAAATAATATACAGAAGACTAGACTAGTAAGAGTATGGGCGAAAATAAATAAAGAATTTAATTCCCATTGCTGAGATCATAACAAATATGGTTTTTATAGTCTTCATCATCTTCATCTTCGTCTACATGCAGTTGCAACAATTAACACGAGAATCCTTAGAAACTTAGAATCAGATGACTAGTAGGCACTGTTCAGAATAATAGTTGATTGATTGGAAGCAGTTGGTGAAAACATTGAACTTAGCCTTCATTTCTGTTGGTGCTCATCAGTAAGGTACACTTGCAATCTAGAGAGAAATCAGTATTCTATATGAGTTCAAACCCATATAACCTAGATTTATAGTGTGAAACCTTACCCCTGACCTACTTGAATTTCAGTTGACTTCCTTCACTACTCGATCGATAGGTTTAGGTTCGTACTAAGCAAGACCAGGCGAACATGACATTAGTCACTACTCAATAAGTGATCGGCATACAATTAAGTATCCTATTGGGGTAAATATCCTTAGATTACTTGTAGAACCAGATACGTAACTTTGTAGTGAACATGATGTATATTGTCGGGACGTTTTAAGAATTCGTAAATTTCTATAAAAACACCTGATAAAATAATGTTTCTCCCTTTTCAAATATAATCCCAGTTTACAATTGATTGATCACCGAGTAGCAAGGAATATGATATGTAACAATTCGTTATGAGTGTAGGTAATCGAATTTTGTTTATCGAGTTGCAATGCGGTCATTAATGTAAGTGACTCAACATCACGTACATTGCTTTAAGATGCGAGATAGTGATTAGAAGTAATCGACAGAAAACCGTAGACTTTATATTTCAAAGAAATGATCTTTGAATGCCAATCAAGTGATTTGATTTCTTAGATCTGTTTAAATTCTAATCCTACAGTAATAATCGATTCCCACCAGATTATTGATGCACCTTGTTCATAAGAGCGTTAACTAACACAAAACAAGGGTCACATAAGGTTTATTTCTAATTCTCCCCACGAGAAAAATACTTTGATATAGTGTTTCTTCCCACTTCTGTCTAATCAGTAGGAAATATATGGGAAAAAAAGGGAATCAAGGGATTAAAAGGAAAGGATAAGAAATGTGATAAATATGTATCTCAGAAAGGGTTTTCTGGAGATTTCAGTATTTTCATAGTTGAAATCATGAGTCGATTGAAGCTAGACAACCATGAAAAACCTGGAAGCACTGGACGGCCGTTTCGTCCTACTATTGGACTTCTCAGCAGTTCGCATCCACGATCATGCCTCGTGAGATTCGAACCCAGGTCTAGCTTCAATTGACTCATGGTTTCAACTATGAATAATACTAAAATCTCCACAAAACCCCTTCTGAAGATGACTATCCTTTTTTCAATGTTCACTAAATGTAATATTGAATACCGTAAAGTATTTCATCGTTCACTTAGTCAGTACTGCTTATAGAAGTGTAATTTTCATTGAATATTTCATTCTACTGATTTAGAGTTATTTACACATGTTTTCTATGAACGCGACACTGTAGGGTATCTGGTGAGGCTATAATTTATGGACAGCATTTGAGCGACGCCAATGTGACCTTGAGAGTGTCTACTTACTAAGGCTAAATGAGGGTCATAAAGCAGTGTGAGGAATTAGAATTATGATTCACAGTTGACGCTTAGGGTTAGGAATCAGATTTATGGTTTCTAATCATGAACTGACATCATCCAATAGACAATTGGTAAACGATTGCTCAAACTTCGTGAATTGGTTTAAGTTAGACATTAACACCGTTGGATGACGGCTGGCTCAGTGGTCTAGAGATTGAGTGCGAGACTGGTAGGTCCTGGGTTCGAATCTCGCAAGGCGGGATCGTGGATGCTCACTGCCACTGGAGAGTCCTACAATAGAACGAAACGGCCATCCAGTGCTTCGAGGTTTCCAATGATAGTCTACCTTCAATTCACTCATGATTTCAACTATGAAAATATGTATCTATCTGAAGAAGGATATCATTTCATCATCAAAAGAAAACTTATCACCTTTACTATCCCATTTAAATTTTGATGTTTTTTTCTTAACTCGATAAGATGATTTTTCATGATTTTCCCCTTTTTATTTTTCCATGATAGATGGATAATTTATTAATTATAGAAGGGGTTTTGTGGAGATTTAATATTTATCATTGTTGAAAGCGTGAGTCAATTGAAGCTAGACCACAACAGACGTGGTTTTGAACTCCACTGCTGAGGAGTCCCATAATAGGACGAAACGGCCGTCCAGTGTTTCCAGGTTTTCCATGGTGGTCTAGCTTCAATTGACTCACGCTTTCAACAATGATAAATACTAAATCTCCACAAAACCCCTTCTATAATTAATATAATCATATGCTCACTAGTGACTTCGAGAAGTATATCTAGGAGCTCTAGTGAGAAGCAGTGACCAGTGGAGTTCAAAACCACGTCTGTTGTGAGATAGGAACTCACTGAAGACAATTGGTGAATGGTTGCTCAACTTCGTGAATCAGTTGAAGTTAGACATTAACACCGTTGCATGCCAGCTCAGTGGTCTATCTGTTAAGGGCTTCGGCTCGAGACTGGTAGGTCCTGGGTTCGAATCCCGCTCGCGAGAGCAGGTTCGTGGATGCGCACTGCTGAGGAGTCCCATAATAGGACGAAACGGCCGTCCAGTGTTTCCAGGTTTTCCATGGTGGTCTAGCTTCAATTGACTCACGCTTTCAACAAGGATAATTTATTGTTACGTTGGAGACAAGAATGAATGTCTATACGCATAAAACATAATAATAATAATGGTAATAATAATAATAGTAATGATACTACTACTACTACTAATAATAATAATAATAATAGTAATAATAATGATAGTAATGGTAATAGTAATAGTAGTAATAGTAATAGTAATGGTAATAATGATAATAATAACACCTTTTTAATTTTTCTCAACTCCTCTGATTCATTTTCCAATTCTAAATTGAATCGACGATCAATGCGATATTCATTGAACTGTGAATGAAGAAAACAAACAAACAAAATGAAATAAGCCAATAGAAGAAAATGTGGTGAAGAAGAAAAGGATGGAAATGTTTCTTTCTTCTTCTTATGAAATGATAAGACAAGATGAATGATAATATTGAAGCAATCTATACAAGATGTATATATGCCATCTAAGAGAGTGATTCGTTACAGTTCTACATATCAATGAGAAGATTCAAATAAACAACACTAAGTGAATTTAAACTTCACCACATTCCACAAGCTAGTGGCTATCAGGAATAAGTATCTAAGTACATAATGAGATGGCGTTTGAAATGAACGGTACTGGGTTCGATTCCTTGAGTGAATATAAAATGTGGGATACAGGTACATTCAGCTGACAAGTCCCAAATGAGATGAAACGTGAGTCCTGGATTCTACTGCTGGCTAGCATCCATCCCTACCTATAGTGATTGTGAATTAAGGCAATATCGAGGCGAAACATATAAGATGCACATATGCCAGTAAGAGATTGATCAATTGCAGTTCTAAACATCAATGAGAAGATTCCTAAGTGTTATTTTACTAATGTGGAGTGATGTTATTTCTGGGGGTGATATGATTGAAAATGAATATTTTAGTCAAATGACACATGTGAAGATAGATTTGATTTGTAAGTTCTATTTTCTTTTCCAAAGATTTGTCACATTTGAGGTACCATTGAAAACTAAGGAGAACTGGAGAACTGTTGAGTTCTATTATGAAACTCTTCTATAGTGTATACTTACAACCTTTACTGGTGTTGGATCCAGGACCTTCAAATCTTATGTCAAACACCTTACCATTAGAATCAACTTCAGTCATTATGCAATATGATGATCGCCTGTTGTTATTGTTGATAACTGTTTCACTTTCAATATGTCTGAGCTTTAGCAGTTATGATTTCTCAATTGATCTTCTAAGATACCTTGAACTAAGTAACTAGTGATATAACTGGTATAGTTTATTTGAAATAGTTTTGCGATGGGTTAGTTTTAATTTTGGGCTGGATTAATCTCTAACTGATTTCATATGGAAACTATTAAAAAAAACAGATTGTGCTAAATGATCTTTTTTGGTCTAAGGTTTTAAATTCTTCCTTGATATCCAACTAAGATCTTTTCGGCGTTCGAGCTTCAGAACCTTCATATCGCTCAGTAAATATGGCACCACATTAAAATGTGGTACTCTATTTATACTTTCATATCTAATCAATTTGTAATACAGTGTTATCATAATCCATCGTAATTGGTGATGGCTATCTGACTCCTTACAGAGTTGCTTTCAACAGGTCATGACTTATCGCTATGTTACGGGAGGAGGGAATTCTCGGGTTCTATGGAAGAATGTCCAATTTTCAGAATTGTAGGAAAGGTTGATAATTGTTAGATGAAGTGTAATGACACAATGTGACTGATTGATAGCTACTCACCAGACTTAATTATTGACTTAAAGAGTCAAATGAACGTATATCAGAAGATTAAAGCTGGCCAATAGAACAGGGTTTTATCTAATCAAGTAACTAGCCTGTATACAGAATATTAACAAACAATAAACGGCAATTACTTAGCTGAGCGGCTTGAGAAGAAAGTGGTTTGCGTCGTGGACATCAACAACGAAAACGAAGGAGAGAATTAATTAGCGTTGTAAATGTGTGAATTGTTGGACTCAAACTAAAGGATCTAACTCTCTCATTACCAGATTAGATAGTTATAATGATATGGTCATAAATGTAGGCTTCTGAAGAGATTCAAACTACGATTTAACATAAGTTTGTATGATTTTTCCACTTCACAATTCCTTTCTATTGACCTTTCTGTTTATTTTTTCAACTCAATCTTCTTAGCCTTATGCTACCATGAATTGCACTTCTGATTAGTGTTACATACTACTTATACCTGTCAATATAAGTAGCATATACCTTATTTATATCCTTAATGAATACTTTTTTCAACTTGATCAGTAGAATTCGATCTGTACAAAACGAATCATCTACTTGTAAATCTTAACTTACTTCATACTTTAATTGTTTTATTTCAGCGGTTAATTCTTCAATTTGTTTAACATAATGCCATTTAGCTCGTTGTTCTGTTTCAAGTATTTGTGATAAATGTAATTGTTTCTGTTCAGCTTCTTGTTTTAATTCTAATAATTTACTGAAACTATTACAAAAAAAATACAGAGAACAATGAAAGAAAAGAATGAATGGATTAGTCTATTGTTCGGTTATTAACTGGTGAATAATTAGCACGTTACTACTAATGTATTGAATAAGTAGTAGATCAACTTACTTACTTTAATTACCTACTTACGTCTGTTACTCCCAAGGAGCATAGGCCGCAAACCAGCATTCTCCAACACACTCTGTCATGAGCTTTCCTTTCTAGTTCTATCGAATCGTTGTTCATTCTTCTCATATCTGTCTCTATTCCTCGGTGTAATGTGTTCTTTGGTCTTCCTCTTCTCCTTCGACCTTCAGGATTCCATGTGAGGGCTTGTCTTGTGACACAATTGGGTGATTTCCTCAAAGTGTGCCCTATCCACTTCAGGCACTTCTTCCTGATTTCTTCCCCCACTGAAGTCTGGTTTGTTGTCTCCCACAGTAGATTGTTGCTGATAGTGTCTGACCAATGGATCCGAAGTATTTTGCGTAGACAACTGTTAATAAACACCTGTAACTTCTGGATAATGGCTTTCGTAGTTCTCCACGTCTCCGCATCATACAGTAGAACTGTCTTGACATCTGTATTGAAAATTCTGATTTTGGTGTTGATTGACAATCGTTTTGAGTTCCAAATGTTTTTCAGTTTTAGATATGCTGCTCTTGCTTTGCCGATCCTCGCCCTCACATCTGCACCTGATCCACCGTGTTCATCAATGATGCTGCCCAGATATGTAAAGGTTTCCACATCCTCCAAAGCTTCTCCGTCAAGTGTAATTCGATTGATGCATGCTGTATTGTATCGAAGAGTCTTGCTTTTCCCTTTGTTTATATTGAGACGTACTGCTTCTGAGGCTGCTGCTACACTGGTAGATAAACTTGACCGACAATAATTATCAGAAGGGGTTTTGTGGAGATTTAGTATTTTCATAGTTGAAAGCATAAGTCAATTGAAGCTTGCGGGGTGAGGTCGTGGATGCGTACTGTTGAGGAGTCCCACAATAGGACGAAACGGTCGTTCAACTTCAATTGACTCATCCTTTCAACTACGACAATAATTAATTTCTAGATTTTAGGAAAGTGTAATATAAACATATTTGAAATGAAAGCATTCCCACTTATTTGATGTGGAATTAATCATATGTATATATTCATATAATCCTTATAGTCTGGCTTTCTAAGATAATATTTTGTTGTCGGATATGTGGAAAGCTTTTCAGATGAGAATTAAATACCGACAATCCAGTTTACAGATAATGGTTGTTGATTTAGAGTTCACTTTTGATCAGTTAGATCTAACTAATTGTATCGTTAGACTGGTAGCTACTTTCCAACTTGGAGTGACAATGAAATAACTTTGAATGCTTTGCTCTGATTTGAATTTATACAATTGAGTTTGTTCACACCTAATTTGATTAAGCCCTTTTGTTAACTTATTTAACGGATAGAGTCATTCGTACAATAACAACGTATATTTACTATTTTACGTTTATTATATATGCTTGAGCATTGCTTACTGCCTACGCATGTATTCATTCTTCTAGCATTACTATTAGTCGATTCGACGATTCATGGATTTCCATTTGTATATAATATATATATATATATATATGTACATCTTAATCCTGTTCACTGACTCGCTTACCTGTTGACTCTCTGACTCGATCGCTCTCTCGCTCGCTCATTCGACTCGCACGTTCACTTGCTTGCTTTATGGCACTATTCTTTCATGCTTGATTTTAAGGTGCCTGTAAATCTGGATATCTTTGCGTGGTTCAATAATAAACACAATCAACACTTCGTATTCGCCTTCTGATTAATACACCAATGGGGCGTCATCGAGTAATGGTTATCAGGACGAACAATATACGCCCCTATACTCACGTTATACGATCGATTTGCACGTCAGAATCGCTACGGTCCTCCACCAGAGTTTCCTCTGGCTTCAACCTTCACAAGCATAGTTCACCATCTTTCGGGTCTCAACGTGTACGCTCTTGCTCCGCCCCGACGGTGCACACAACACGAGGTCACATGTCTACGTCATGGGACGGGCCGGTGATGCGCCCGCTGCTCGCAACTTGGAAAGTATGAGCAAGACAACAGGATCTCACCTTAGTCCGGACAAGCCGAACCTTTACCTTCACTTCGCCTTTGGGTTTCGTAACACCCAATGACTCGCGCACATGTTAAACTCCTTGGTCCGTGTTTCAAGACGGGTCAGGTGGATCGTCTACCACTACACCACAGACTATTGGCCCAATGCAAATCACACACGCAACCGCCGACGTGACAAAACCAAGCCATCAGCCGACCAGCCGAAGCTAGTAACAAACCGACCAGACTCAGCAATGCCCGAAGGTCTAGGCACGCATGCGAAGCCGCGTTCAAGTCGAGATGTAAACACCAACACAGATACAGGTATATCCTAATGATGAGTTCTGGCTTCCACTACAAACCACCATCCAACTCTGACTAAAATATTTTAGGTTGGTTTATTCATTATCATTAAATGAAATGAGCTGGAAGAAAATTGTTTGAAATCAATGGACTACATACAAGTCTGTATCCATCCACGATCCTATGCGCTACTGAAATCTTGAGTTTCACGTTCCACATCGAGTACAATTCCCTTCAACTCAGAATCTGATGACTACCTGTTTCATTTCGATTCCTTTAAGAATATGCTATTGTAAGACAGAACTAATATAGTAAACTTGAGTTGAGTAGTGACAACCGTTGAGATGAATTCATGATATTTTAGTGAAAAGTTGTAACAGACAGTGTTCAGTCACTTTACAATGTCAAGTGAATTTCATTGATAGCTAGATTGGATAATCTTAGATCAGTTTAGGGATGATATCGAATATCGACCACCACAAACTAACCAATAAGCATAAAAACAATTTAAAATCCATATATTAAAACTTAAACTCATATGTAAGTTTTTCAAAGGGTTATTATCATTCTTGATGTAGGTTCGTTCTCTGACCTGGATGGTTTGGTCGTTCAGCTTTCATCGTCCTTCTCAACGACATCATCAGCACAAACTTCGGGTTATTATCTTTAAAATTCTTATGATTGTCCTTTTTTCCGAACTAAAGTTTTTCTTAGTACAGTCATTTATTTGCTTATCTGTTTACGGTTTTGACAGTCAATGTGATTTAAGTCATTGAAATCTTGAAGAGACTATGTTATGAGACAAGTATCCTGTCTTTCTTTTTCTTGTTGAAAGTATTGACACAAGACATAAGTATCTTTTGTTCTAAAATAAATAAATTCGACTGGGAATAGGCTTCACATCATCAAGTCATCTAAGTGTACCGTAGTCAGTAATTAAGATTATGTTTGTGTTTATTCAGTCACTCGATAATAGATATTTGGGAATAATTTCTATTATAAAATTAATGGGGGGGGTTATGTCTTTTACCATGTTGTAACTTTTCTTCCATCACGATTGACTGAGCTTCACTTGACATGTCTGTAGCATGATGTAGTGATATTATCGTTGTAGAAAACTACATTTTTCATGTGCACCAACCAAAAATGACACACTGAACAGTGGAGTTTATCCCTACGTCATGTGGTCTACTTATATCCACATAAGTAGAATATGGTGATGGTCAGACATAGAATGTATTTTGGCAGAAGATCGATAAGGAAAGAAACAGGAATGAGACACAATCAATATGAAAATGCATGAATAATGAAATCAGAGAAGATGGATTGATATTTGCAGAAGGAACAGTTACGATTGAGACAATTGATTGTTGTTTTGCAAATTAACTGTTTACTGTATGGTTATTAGAATTTAGTGAGATAGTCGATTATCCCCAACCGGTGTTTCGTTCACTACACCTGCCTGTTAGTTGATATTCCATTTTTTCGATTTCATTCGAAATTCTTTGGTTGTGATTAACCTAGTACTATAAACTGGTTTTAGTCAATACAAGAAGTGGAAATCGAACTTTAAAAAAAAAAAAAACGATCTCAGGAAACTGTTAAAGAATATATCAGAAAACTAATCTCATTATCAGCTTTCAAAGTTTTGTTTAAAACATATGAATCTGATATAATTGTAGGGTAATTAATACAATGGAGATGGATACAATAAATCATTTATGTGTAATATCGGCTAATTACATTTAGACAAGAAATATTATTATTACAAAAATAAATGGAACTAAAAACAACTATCTGCTGGTCAACATCAGGATCTTCAATAGAAATGTCAAGACAGCTAGTTCTGTTCTACGGAGCTGAAATTCGAAGAACTGCTACAACCATGATCAAGCAGTACAAGTATTTATAAATAGCTGTCTACACAAGATACTGAATATTTTTTGATCGGATACCACAAGCAAAAACCTGCTGTGGGAGAGAACAATCCAGCTTCCAATTGAAGAGGAAATTAAGAAAAGACGATGGAACTGGATAAAATACTTATTGAGGAAATCACTTAACTGTATCCCGAGGCAAGTGATGACTTCGAATGGTGAAGGAAAACAGAAATAAGGCAGACCGAGCAACACACTATGTTGAGAATTGGAAGCAGATATGAAAAGAATGAAGAGCAACTGAAAACAACTGGAAAGGATAGAGAATGCTAACTTTTGCAATCCCAATCCTAAATTTACACTGATTTAACACGATAAAAGAGCCACGGTGACTTCAACAATCTCTGTAATCCCCAACTGAAAATTACAATGTGCCTGATAGTGACTTGATTTGTGAGGGAATTCTCGGAGTTCTAGTGACCAGTGGAAGTGTACCACGTCGAGTATGAGGCATTCACCTACCGAAGACAATGGAAAACGTTTGCGCAATACTATGTGTTGGCCGAGATTAGACAATAACACTGTTGGATACTAGATCGGCGGTCTGAATGTTAAGCGTTTGCGCAAAACTAAAGGCCCTATGTTTGATTCCATCGTGAATGAACACTTCAGATAGTCAATTTGATTTAAATCCTGAGTTAAATAAATCCTTATCATCAATTTT